AAAAAAAAAAAAAAAACAAAGACAAAGACAACAGAAATATATTAAATAAATAAATGTAGATTAAATAAATAAATAGATATATATTAAATAAAGATAAATTTAATATGTTGATGGGGGGAAGAAATATAGAGAAAGAGACAGTAAAAATAGAGACAAAGATAGAGATAGAGAGAGAAGGAGACAAAAGGAGACAGAAAAGGAGAGACAAACGGAGACAAAAAGAGACAAAAAGAGACAGAAGCACAGACAAAAGCAGACAGAATATTAGAGACAAAGGGAGACACAACAAAATAAAATAAAATAAAATAAAATAAAATAAAATAAAATAAAATAAAATAAAATAAAATAAAAAATAAAAAAAATATATATTTTTTTTTTGCTGCAGGAGATGCTGGATTCGCTCCCCCCCAAGGCCTTCACCGAAATGTTTGGTTCTGCTGCCACTTCCTTATCCAGGCCCCTCCTCATCCTCATCGTGAGCTGCTGCTGCTGCTGCTGCTGCTGCTACTGCTGCTGCTGCTGCTGCTGCTGCTGCTGCTGGGGGTAGTGGTGGTGGTGCTGCTAAAGAAACTGCAGCAGCAACGGCAGCAGCAGAAAATGAAGCGGCAAATAGCAACTGCCGCAGCAGGTGCTGCTGCTTCTACTTACTGCTGCTGCTGCTGCTGCTGCTGCTGCTGCTTCTGCTGCTGCACAAGTCAGCCCTGTACCCCAAGGACTTCGTAGTGGTGATTGGTTCTGATGCTACTGTGAACTGCTGCTGCTGCTGCTGCTGCTTGCTGCTTCTGCTGCTGCTGCTGCTGCTGCTGCTTGCTGCTTCTGCTACTTCTGCTGCTGCTGCTGCTGCTGCTGCTGCTGCTGCAGGATAGAGATTTTGACTTGCTGACGATGCTGCAGCACACGTGGCTCTACGGGGCTCTGATCCACGACCTGCTGAAACTGAGGTTCTTCTTCCTCTCCCCCGCCGTAGCTAGCTAGCTAGATACATAGCTAGCTGTATAGCTATCTAGCTAGCTAGCTAGATACATACTTAGATATATGGCTAGCTGACTAGCTAGCTAGCTAGCTAGCTAGCTATGTAGTTAGATTGATAGCTAGCTAGCTGTGACCGTGGCTCTTATACCCCTTCATTGCCATACATACATCGCTGAACAGCTAGCTAGACCGAGCGAGCAGCTAGCTGGCTTGATGGCTAGCTGCCAAGCACAGTGGCTAGCCAGCTAGCC